TCGCACAAAACAAGACAAAAGAGGGAAGCCCTGGAAATCAAAAGGAAGGATTCAAAAAAATAGTTAGGTCCTGCAATATAGGAGTAAGTGAAATAAAAAAGGAAAAAAAGAAGAGTGTTCGAACTGCAAATGGAGGGAATGAAACTCCATCACATGACTTACAGCTGAATCTGACTAGAAGGAGCCATGTTGAAAGGTAACGTTGCAGGTGCTATTTTTGATGCAGAGATGACTATACCAATGAGAAGATCTCCTGGCCTATAATAGCTCCATGGCTTTTCTCCATCCTGGTGGTCCAAATTCAGTGGGCATTTCATTCTCAGCTTCCCAGAGAGTGGCTGGAACAGCAGCAGCATCAGAAGCAGAAACAGGAGGTCCATAATTCATGGGGCGGAATCAATCTCCTTCCTCTTTCTAAAAAAGAATTAGAAAAATTCAAAGCACTCTGACAGGGTGGAATATCCTGTAGCTTTCCAGCGATAAACCAAAAGAAAGAAAGTACATTCAAGATCCTACCTGTCCAATATCTTGAGCCAAAAAAAGCATAACCTGTGATATTTATCCTTTTCTGATGCAAGATCCCTTCCATGTTGCTCCAGTCTGATATTTACATCAAAGGCAGTCACTGGAGACCTAGGAGAAGAGGTCTCAGAGACAGGGATGGTGATGATTGCAGTGAGAAGGAGCTTCTGCTCTTGGGACCCTGAACTTCTTCCATGTAAGGAGGGATAGCTGGAGAAAAGCACATTAGAGAAAACTCACATACACCTCTTGGGGCAGTATTCAATAATGGTCTTAGTCCTTCCTGTTAGGACATGTCCAGAAAGTCATGCTGGATGGAGATAGTTCAACAGCCAGGAAAGTGACTTGTGCTGTCCTTCAATGGGGTCTCTTGCCTCCAGAGGCTGCTAGGGAAGGTCACCCAGAGTTATGGAGTTTGGTGCCACTCTAGGTTGGTGACACTTAACTCTAATGCTGTCTGTGCTTTATCTCCATGGAAGCCCTCAGTATCCTTGAACCAGCCTAATATTAAGAGTAGGGCCTGTCTGGGGTTTTCTAATAGAATAGAATAGAATAGAATAGAATAGAATAGAATAGAATAGAATAGAATAGAATAGAATAGAATAGAATAGAGCTGGAAGGGACCTTGGAGGTCTTCTAGTCCAGCCCCCCGCTCAAGCATGAGAACCTATACCATCTCAGACAAGTGACTGTCTAGTCCAGCGTTTCTCAATGTTTGTGTGACGGCGACCCCCGTCACACGGACGTGATGCACATGCGCGCCGCCACCCCATGCGCAGCGCGCATGCGCGGCGGCGCCCCCATGTGCCGCCCCCATGCTCTCTCTCTCCCTCAATCCTCCCATCTATATTTTCACCCCAATCATCTGCTAGCATCACATTTTTGCCCAGCAATCACTGCTGTCATGTGTCTTATGTTGTGTTCTGGCTAATGAAACATTCCAAAGAACTTCCAGGCATTTATTTTCCTAAAAGTCTTTTATTGTTACAAAATGTCGGCACAGGCACAACGGAGGGATGCTAGGATCTAAATTCTCTTCCTCTGAGCAGTTAAATTATCAGCATGTTCCCTCCCTAAATTATCCGTCATATCTCACATTATCCAATTAGTGTGAAGGTCAAATGTTTTCTTCCTCTTTCTTTCCTGGGCTTTAACCCCCAACCCCCCTTCTGCTCTGTATTAACCCAATAATTACCAGACAATTCTACATATTGTCAAAAGCAAGAATATACAATATTTGCAGTGTTGACATCTGATTAACGAAACACTTCAAAAAACTTTCAGGCATTTTTTTAACCCAAAAAGCCTTTATTAGTGTTGCCGCCCCCTGAGGGGGGAAAATGGCGGATCGCATTGTTTGGCGACCCCCGTAAAATGGTCGTTCGACCCCAAATGGGGTCGCGACCCATAGGTTGAGAACCGCTGGTCTAGTCTCTTCTTTAAAATATCCAGTGATGGAGCGTCCATGATTTCTGGAGGCAAGTTGTTCCATAGGTTAATTGTCCTCACTGTCAGGAAGTTTCTCCTTAATTCCAGGTTGCTTCTCTCTTTGATCACTTTCTTGTCTTGCCCTCTGGTGCTTTGGAGAATAACGTGACCCCTCATTTTTAATGAGATCTCCATACATTAATCTTAAATTGGAGCTGATTTTATAATTCCTTATAACTGAAGTGAAATTTTATTTGCCATCAATAATAGGGAAAGGGTGAGAGGTGTATGCCAAACTGGATAGGAAAGAAAGCTGGAGGTCCATTCCATGGTCTCCCCTCCCTTCTTTAAAAAAAAAACTAAGGAGAAGGGAGAAAGGAGGACGATCCCTCTTTTTGACACTTTTAGTCATAGCTGGAGCTGTATTTGGAATAAAGTTTTCTGTCCTTTCAGATGTTTTATGCAAGACATCTCTTTGTGTTGATTTTCCATCTGGGGTTTTCATCAGTTCCAAAATCAATTAAAAATGCCTTGAGATTTTTGATAAGGTGACCAAATGAACCAGAGAGGCTTCACTAGTTCCCAGAGTGGTGGATTCAACTGAAAAAGGATCTGTTGCCTGAAATTTGTATTTTTTTAATTGTAGGCCAGTATTTCTGCCCAGACCAAGGATGAGAAAAACAAGTTGTTGGAGGAATGGGAATGTGTTAGCCAATTAGAAACCTAGAAACAAGGTGTGCTATTGGGATCTTGAAGTTCTCACTTCTCAGTTCAGTATATTTTATAAAAACTGTTATGGCAATGCAACTGATGTGTGTTTACTTAAGACAATAACACATTCTTAAAGATAGAGTAGATGGGTGGATATTCATTAATTATGAATATTCATGCTTACATCATCTATTATCTAGATGATGTTTCCTCCTCCAATTTTTCCTTACCACAAGACCCCTGAGAGGCAGGTGGATTCGGGTGACTGACTGATTTGGAGTGTCCATGGCCAGAGGAAGCAATCCACATAGGACAAAACCAGTGATGGGATTCAGCCAGTTCGCACTAGTTCAGCAGAACTGGTAGCTAATTTTTTGTTGCCCAGGTCCAGAATGGACTTCTGGAAATGGCATCCACACAGAGAATTGGTTGTTCACATATTTGAATCCCACCACTGGACAAAACCCACATTAATGAATGGATAATGAGAAAGCTTCACTGATCAGAGACAACTTATTCCTCATAGAAGGTCCACATGAAGGAGAAACCGCCAATACCTGGTGTGTGGAAAGAGCTTTAGGCTGAGCTGTTCCCTGGGTTCTAACAAAATTAACCCAGGAGAGAAACCCTATAAATGCACAAAGTGTGGAAAGAATTTCAAGATGAGTTGCTTCTAAAATACGTTCTGTGGGGCAATGTTCCTTTTAACCATATGAAATGTGGAAACTTTGGATTCCAGTTCTAAGGCAGTTGTCAACACTGCTAATATTGAATATTCTTGCTTTGACAATATATGCAGAACTGTCTGGTATTTTTAGAGTTAAATCAGGTGACAGCGAAAGGGGAGGAGACTATAAGGAAAGCCTGGGGAAAAGAAACGGAAGTGAATCTTTGCCCTCCAAGTTAATTGGAAGATGTGAATCATGACCCCAAAATAGGGGAGGGGAAATGCCTGGAATGTTATGTGCAAAGGAAGGGAAATTCAGATCTTAGCATTCCACCATGCCGGGCTGACATCTCTGCAACACTAATAAAGGCTTTTTAGGTTAAAAAAATGCCTGAAAGTTCTTTGAAGTGTTTCGTTAATCAGATGTCAACACTGCAAATATTGTATATTCTTGCATTTGACAATATGAAGAGTGGTCTGGTAATTATGGGGTTAATACAGAGCAGAAGGGGGGTTGGGGGGTAAAACCTGGGAAAGAAAGAGGAAGAAAACATTTGACCTTCACACTAATTGGATAATGTGAGATATGACGGATAATTTAGGGAGGAAACATGCTGATAATTTAACTGCTCAGAGGAAGAGAATTTAGATCCTAGCATCCCTCCGTTGTGCCTGTGCCGACATTTTGTAACAATAAAAGACTTTTAGGAAAATAAATGCCTGGAAGTTCTTTGGAATGTTTCATTAGCCAGAACACAAAATAAGACACATGACAGCAGTGATTGCTGGGCAAAAATGTGATGCTAGCAGATGATTGGGGTGAAAATATAGATGGGAGGATTTAGGGAGAGAGGGAGAGAGAGAAGAAAGGGAAGGTGAGGGATATGGGAGAAGGCAAGGAGTGGGGTAGGGAGGAGAAACTGGTCCTTTAAAGATCAAGCCACTCTTATGGCTCCATAAGAGTCAACTTACCAGAAAGCCAATAGAAAACAAGGTGGAAAGACTTTGGGGATCTTTTGAGAGACTTTGGAATCCTGAATGAAGGGATGAAGCTGGGAAATATGGAAAGTGAGTTATTTTGCTTTGTCTAGAATTGTCTTAGGATTTAGGGGTTTTTAAAATTCTTTTTATCCACGTGTTCTCTTTATGACCTTATTTTTTTTAACAGCTTTAGTAAAGTTCATATTTGTTTAATCTGGGAGTTGACCCATGACCTTCTTGTACCTGCCTTAGCTTGGTTGAACTACTGACTCCCCAAACCAGACCAGGATACATTTTGTCTTCAATTTATATCTGAATAAATAAATCTGTTTATTTATTTATTTATTATTATTTTACTTGATAATTAACTTCACATATTTATTTCCTTCAGTTTTAATAAATATAAGTTGTCAAGGAAATCCAAAGGAAGAATATATAACCAATAATAATGGATAATTAGAAGTTACCAGCCTAAGAAACAATTTCACAATCATTCCCCTGCTTTGGCCATTAGATGTTCCTTAGTGTTTAGATCTGGTCTCAGGATGATAATGTAGCACTTGGGGAAGAAGATGCAGCTCAATAGTCCAGCACCAGAGGCCAAGATGGAGAAGACCTGCACAGCCACCATGTATTTTCCTTTAGTGCCCAGGTAGGTGGGGAGGAAGGAGACCCAGACACTGCAGAAGACCAGCATGCTGAAGGTGATCAGCTTGGCTTCATTGAAAGCTCCAGGCAGGTTCCTGGCCAGGAAAGCCACAGTGAAGCAAATTGCAGCAAGGAAGCCCATGTAGCCAAGAACAACATAAAACATGATGACAGAGCCTTCGTTGCATTGAAGGATAATCTCTTGAGGCTGGGAGTGCAAATCAGAGTCAGGAAATGGGGGAGAAACTCCCAACCACATGGCACAGATGAGAACTTGGACAGCAGAACAAGAAAGGATGATGGAGTTGGCCAAGCTCTTCCCCAAACATCTTCTCACTTTATTACCTGGCTTTGAGGCTAGGAATGCCAGCACTACTGTGATTGTTTTGGCCAACACAGAAGACACGGCTACTGAGAAGACAATGCTGAACACTATTTGTCGGAGAAGGCAGGTGGCTTTCCTTGGTCGGCCAATGAAGAACAAGGAGGATAAGAAGCAAAGCAGAAGGGAGACCAGGAGGATGAAGGAGAGGTCCCGGTTGTTGGCTTTGACAATAGGAGTTTCAAGGTATGTAATGAATATGATTAAGACAAAGCCTGTGGTTAGGAACAAGAGTAGAGCAAAGGAGATGAGGATGATGCTGAGATGTTCTTCATAGGAAAGAAAGGTTATTCTTTTGGGGATACACTGGACTCGGTTCTTAGTTGGATATTGGTCATCTGGGCACTTGGTACATTTTGTGGTATCTGAGAAAAGAAAGTAATATTTTTATAGTCTTTCAAATTTCAATAAAAACTGTGGATAAGTTGTGATACAGAAAGACAGAAACGTCTCAGTAAATGAAATATACTTACACCACAATAGCCAAAATAATCCCCAATACATACAACTATTAAAAGAACAACAACAACATACATTTAAAAGAAAATCTGTCTGGTTCTGCAACTTCCCTTCTCTGCACTGAGCTTACCTTATCCCAAATGATTCTCCAGAGGTTTAAGAGGATGGGGGCCTATTCAATTTCAAAGGGGAGTGGGTCCAATAAGGCAGGAACTGCACCAAAAAAGGCAGGCTTCTGATAATCCATAAAGTGGGAATCCTTTAAGGGAACAGATGATTTGCATGCCCAATATTATATGCTCTTGTGGGAGAAGCAGATATCCTCAAGGAGAGGAAGCCCTGCAGATACCCTGGTTTTGTCTAATGGAGGGTTTGAAAGTTGAATTTAATTGCACCTGGAAAGAAACTGGGATTCTGTGGGGCCTGCACAGAAGGGGTGCAGAAGGAAGAACACATGGAAATTCAACACTGTGCATGCCTTTGCATTCTGGACTATTTGTAAATTCCAGGTGAATCTTGATTCCTCTTTTTGATTTTCATTGTTCCTTTAACCCAACATTTCTCCCTCTATTTTTCCTCCCAATTAGATACTACAGCTTATAAGGATATATGATCTTACTAAAGATTAACTGATTAAATGAATGATTGATTGATGTATCTATCAGCCTGTAATGTAAAGTTGGTCTACTCTAGGTAAACAAAACCCATTGATTGAAAATCATTCATCAAGTTACAAAGAATACAGATATTTCTAAGAAAGATAAATATGGATGGAAACATCCAAACTGGGAAATGAAAAAGATTTCCCATGCAATCCACAACATCTTTCTTTCTACCTCATCCTTCAAGATATTTGTTTCATTCTTCCCATTATGGAAGAAATTGGACACTATGAAAATGAAAAACTAAACAATCAAACTTACATGTCTCTTTAACATGCATAGTGATCAAAGTTTCCCTGTGGTGTCACCCACCTTCCTGAGTGGAGATGGTCCCCTCTGGACAAGGAATGCAGTCGTAGCAGCAAAATGGCTCTCTTTCTCGAGCCTGCTTGACAAATCCAGGAAGGCATTTCTCTACACATTTTGACTGAGGCAGAGACTAAACAGAAAAAGAAGAAATGCCAAAGAAAATATGTCAGGACACACTATCCATGTAAGACATGAACAGGTAGACATGAACATCAGCCAAGTCGTCTTTGGGCTTCATGTAGGCAAATGTGAAATCTCTGACACATTCCAAATGGTAGCAGGAGAAACAATTGCAGGCAGATGCTTCATTCAGTTCCTCCCTTTTTCTTCTGACTTATCAGATTACAATAAAGTACCTTTCTACTTAACAAAGTCTGGAGGGATGAAATTGAGAAAAGATTTTAGCATTAATTGATAACCAGTGTTTCCATCCTCATAGTGGAATTAACACGCATTCATTCATTCTTCATACATGCTTTATTTAAAATATAATATCTAAAATACTAAATTTTAGAGTAAACTTTACTATAAAAGATTTATTAAATTTTCATTTCATTGGATTTATTGAAATAGAATAAAACTGTGATGAAGAAAGAAACGTTTGACTAGTAGGATCTGGAAAGGTTTCTTCTGGAGTACATAAAACATTGCAAGGCTACTTCCCTTTGAAAGCAGTTCAAAATTATAGATAAAAAAGAAGATTTCCTTACAAATAACGGGTCTCAACCTTAAATATGTTCTTTATTTGTATATATATTTGTTCAGTTTATACGGTAAGATGGAGGTGAGGTCATGAGAATGTCTTCCACAATAAGTTTGAGTCAAGCATTTTTTGATGCACCACACGGGTCATGAGTATGAGCCCTGTGTGGGAAATGGATACTCAACACAACATATCCAACACAATGTCCTTTCTATTGAGAGAATATAATTAGGTGACACAATCTGATATGGAAATACACACTCATATTTATTATTATTTGATTTGTAGCCTGTCTGTGTGTCATAAGGCAGCTAACAATCAAGATAATAATATACCATCAAACATCCACATCTGCCTATCCCAGGTCCTGGGTAAGGACTCGATAGGTAGACAAAATGCCAAATCAAGTCTGAACATCTGGCTGACTGTGCGATGATTGAATAAATAATTATTATTAATAATAATAATCCCCCAGTGAGGCACTACCTTGATGTGGTTGTGGGGCTTGTGTACTCTGAGGAAGATGAGAGCTATGCCAGAGGTTCAACCATACTGGACAGGTCTCATCAGAGGAGTCAGACAAAGAGTGTCTCTCCCATAAAAAATATGGTGAGATGTAAATTGCAGAATGCCATACCGGCTCGGACGTCGCCCGGGTTAACAAGGTCCGCACTAGATATTGGAGTTCCTGGATATCTGGTGAAAAATGGGTTACAGGACTCAGGACTGTTGGCTGAGCAAACCAGGGCCAGCAGCTGCAGAACTACTGGAAGAAAAGGTGTTTACCCGTCGCAGATACACAGTGATGGAAAACAAAGAAATAATGATCTGTTACTACAGATCAAGTCCAACAAGACGAGGATATCTAAAACGAATGCACCAATTCTGGAAAGAACAAAATCCAGAATCAGAAATAACAGAACAGAGACTAGCAGATCAACGCCGATTTATAACACGAAATAAAGTATTTACAGAAACAGAACTGGACGAACTGCAAAGGTTTACCCAGGGCAAAGAAATTAAAGCCTTACCAGAAGTAATTCAGAATGTAGAGGCAAACCAGGGAGAGTTGGCAATGAAGGAATCCAGCAGAGATATACAACTGTTCTCATTTGGAAACCAGGCACCTCTACCTCAGGAAGAACAAAACCCTCTAACTAAAGAAATAAAAGAATTGAAACAAAGAATAACTGAGCATCTAGAACAGCACAAAAACAACAGAATAAGGTTACCTGCATTGAAGCTTGTTCCAAAGAAACAGCTAGCACAAGCATTAAAAGATGCAAATATTGCAATATCAAGTATAAGCACCAATTCACTGCAAGAAACAAACCAACTAATGTACAGCACAGCAGCAGTTATAACAGAATACCTGGGATGCAAAATCAACAAAGAAGAAAAACAAACAAACAGTGCACCAGAAAAATGGAAGGTTAGACTAGAAAATAAGATCAGCAAGTTAAGATCACATGCAAGTAAGCTAGAACAGATGAAAGAAAAGAAGCTGAAGAACAAGAAGACCAAAGAATACCTAATCAAGAAATACCACTTAGAAACAAGGAAGATCAAGGAAGCACTGGAAATAATAAAGCAACAAATAACAACTATAGCCAGGAAAATCAGTAGGTATGAAGCTCGAATTGCAAATAGGCAGAACCTCCAATTTCAATCCAATCAGAAACGTTTCTACCAATCCATCAATGGAGAAACTGCAAGGAATCAGTCAGTACCTGACAAGGAAGAAACAGTGCAGTTGTGGAAACTGGTGGGATCATGAAATAGAGAAAGTCATAGAAAATGGTAAAATTAAACTGCTCTGGGACTTCAGAATTCAAACAGACAAGCACTTGCAACATAACACCCCAGACTTAACAATTGTCGATAAGAAAGACAAAAAAGTCTGGATAGTGGACGTGGCAATGCCTGGAGATAGCAGAATAGAAGAGAAAGAACTGGAGAAGATAACAAAATACAAAGACCTACAAATAGAAATAGAAAGAATGTGGCAAAAGCAAGCAAGGGTAGTACCAATAGTCATAGGCTCCTTGGGTGCAATCCCAAAACAACTGGAGCACCACTTGAACACCATTGGCATTGACAAATTCGATATTAGTCAATTGCAAAAGGCGGCCTTATTAGGAACTGCTTCCATCCTGCGACGATACCTGTAACACCGTCAAACATCCACATCTGCCTATCCCAGGTCCTGGGTAAGGACTCAATAGGTAGACAAAATGCCAAATCCAGTCTGAACATCTGGCTGACTGTGATGATCCATAATAATAATAATAATAATAATAATAATAATAATAATAATAATAATAATAATAAAGTTGGAAGGGACCTTGGAGGTCATCTAGTCCAACCCCTGCTCAGGCAGGAAGCCCTATACCATTTCCGACAAATGGCTGTCCAGTTTCTTCTTAAAAACTTCCAGTGTTGGTGCATTCACCGTTTCTGGAGGCAGGTTGTTCCACTGGTTAATTGTTCTAACAGTCAGGAAGTTTCTCCTTAGTTCTAGGTTGCTTCTCTCTTTGGTTAGTTTCCATCCGTTGCTCCTTGCCCTGCCTTCAGGCACTTTGGAAAATAGCTTGACTCCCTCTTCTTTGTGGCAGCCCCTGAGATATTGGAACACTGCTATCATGTCCCCCCTTGTCCTTCTCTTCATTAAACTAGACATACCCAATTATAGCAACCATTCCTTATATGTTTTAGCCTCCAGTCCCCTAATCATCTTTGTTGCTCTTCTCTGTACTCTTTCTAGAGTCTCAACATCTTTTTTACATTGTGATGACCAAAACTGGATGCAGTGTTCCAAGTGTGGCCTTACAAGGCATTGTAAAGTGGTATTAATACTTCACGTGATCTTGATTCTATCCCTCTGTTCATGCAGCCTAGCACTGTGTTGGTTTGCATTCAAGGGATTTTTACAAGCCAATGCCCAAATCAAATAATATTTCCTTCAAAACTGCTCTTTTTTACTTCTGATATAAGGATTTGATTTTCACCACGTCAGTTCAGTTTTCAAGCCACTATCATGGTGAGATGGGCAGCAAAGAGAAAAGACACCAATATTTTCCCCACCTTGTTGAGCAACTTTAACTGTGACAAAACATCTTGGTTGATTGTAAGTCTTTGTCTTTCAAAACTCCCCAATATCTTGTGGATGGGATCTTCCTTGGGGAAAACTACCATACCAATGATATACAGATCTGCTGCTACGTCTCCATTCTGATCCAAGTACACTTTCAGCAGGGAAAGATTGTACAATTCCCTCTTCTTTAGAAATGGATGGAACTAGAATGGAAACATCCAGGAATTTAAAAGCAGAAATTTTGGTTTTTTAATCTCTTTTCACTTTTTACATTTGAATCTTTCTTCTATGGTTGTTTAACTTGCAAATATTGTGAGCTGGGAGAACAAGTGTTCCCATTATCTTTAAAATTGAAGTACAAAGATTCAGCAATATTTTAAAATCATGTAGTATGCTGTATATTATATATTGACAAAATGTAATTGACAAAAATGGTCAATCATATATAACAATCTAGCAAAGGTCACCAAGGAAGTAAACAAAATACACAGATAACTAGAGTATTCATAAACTCCTTGCAAACAATAGGGTGATAACCAGAAAGCAAGGATTTGTTAAGAAGAAAGTTGCCAGGCTAATCTTCATTCAGCTAGAGGAGATAGGAAAAATGACCAGATGAAGTAATTCTACTTTATTATAAGGCAATATTAACAAAATCTTGCAGTGTGAAAGTACAAATTTTTCACCATCTCTTTGGACAGTCAAAAAACATTAGGGAGGACTTTTTCTGAGTTTCTTTCTCTGCCTGTTATGGAGCTGTGGGTTGCCCTCCCCCCAGACCAGGGGTAGGCACCCTGGGCTCTTTTATGACTCGTGGACTTCAACTCCCAGAATTCTGGCTCAGGAGTTCTGGGAGTTGAAGTCCATGAGTCTTAAAAGAGCCGAGGTTGCCTACCCCTGTCCCAGACCATCTTATCTGATCCTTCCCTACATCTCTTTCTCTGGTCCTCCAAAAACATTCACACATATTGTTAAACTTCCTTAGCAGATTGTGTGAATGCTGGTGGTATAACTTGTTTTTAGCAAAGAAGTAACAAAATGCTTCATGATGTGATGAATGGGGATCTAGTTAATTGAGTGCTGGATGATATGAGATAATTAAGTGGATACAACTGTCTCAAAAAATTGCACTCAAATAAATATTAATATTACTGATAAAACTGGGGAGTTACGAAAAACAATTAGACCTTGGTCATTGTTTCTTCTATATTTTCAGTAATAAAGGAATTAGATAAATCATGATTTTCTGATGGAAAAATCATAATAACACTTGGACAAAGTTATTTTGGTCTCCTTTAAAACGTCCCAGCTTCTCTCAGGTCCCTATAGATCCCTGCCAGGATGCTGCCATCCTGATGGGAGGGGGACCTTTGGAGCTCTCCTGTGATGTGTTTAGCTTTGCTTTGTTGACTCGGTTCCGCTGCCCGAAGTCATCTGCCTC